GACCTGTGGAAAGAGAACCCCCAATGCTGAGACCGCTGATCTCCCTGGAAGGGGCCTGGTGTCGGCAACGCAGGCTCATCCTGCAGGGCCTTCCCCAGGGTTGCAGAGCCTGACACTGTCTTCCTCTCTTGCTGATACTGATCTTAGTGATTACTCACCGGGATAAGCCCGGTATGAAACGTGAACAGTCTGGCCCTGAATACAGTTGAGCACCCCAGAGTCCGTGAATCAGGCATTCAATTAAACGCCTCGAAGGCCAGGCTTCCTCAATCATCTCAACGTCTTCCAAGCCCACACCACGTGGGGCCGAGCACCTGGCCAGGCCTCGACATGTTTGTACAATGGCTACGATGATAAAGCACCTGAATCCCACTGGAGGTTTTTTCCTTCAATTTCTAATTTTTCACTCATTGCTAAAACCTTATAAGAACACAAGTAAAAGTTGAGGTAGAATTTGTGTGCCATAAAATTCAGTGATTTTTAGTAAATTCATAGAGTTGTGCAACCGTCACCACAATCCAGTTTTAGGATGTTTATATCACCCCCAAAAATGCCTCATGCAAGTAAACTTTTAAAGGAAAGAGAAGTACCTGGCATTCTATCACCGTAGCACAATTGCCTTTTTTTTCATATTCCTTTGAGATCTTTGCCCAAAGGCAACATGCTGTTGTCGTTCACATAGTTACATTCTCCTTGTGCATTCTAGAACAGGCATCTGCTATAGCCGAGGCACAGAGATTTTTTTTTAACTTTTTATTGAGATTATGACAGTTTACAACCTTGTGAAATTTCAGTTGTACATTATTGTCAGTCGTGTTGTAGGTGCACCACTTCACCCTTTGTGCCCACCTTCCAACCCCCCTTTCCCCTGGTAACCACTGATCTGTTCTCTTTGTCCACATGTTTAACTTCCGCATATGAGTGGAGTCATAGAGAGATTGTCTTTCTCTGTCTGGCTTATTTCACTTAACATGATACCCTCCAGGTCCATTCATGTTGTTGTGAATGGGACAATTTTATCCTTTTTTATGGCTGAGTAGCATTCCATTGTATATATATACCATATCTTCTTTATCCAATCATCAGTTGATGGGCACTTAGGTTGCTTCCACATCTTGGCTTCTGTGAATAATGCTGCAATGAACATTGGGGGTGCATGGTTCTTTTGGAATTGCTGATTTCAAGTTCTTTGGATAGATACCCAGTAGTGGGATGGCTGGGTCATACGGTATTTCTATTTTTAATTTTTTGAGGAATCTCCATACTGTTTTCCACAGTGGCTGCACCAGTTTGCATTCCCACCAGCAGTGTATGAGGGTTCCTTTTTCTCCACAACCTCGCCAACATTTGTTACTTTTTGTTTTGGTTATTTTAGCCATTCTAGTGGGTGTAAGGTGATATCTTAGTGTAGTTTTGATTTGCATTTCTCTGATGATCAGTGATGGTGAGCATCTTTTCATCAGGCACAGAGATTTTTAAAGGGAGAAATCATATCAGAGAACTGCCTAGAGAGAGCTGGCTGAAGATGCTCTTGTCCACAGATTCCCCTTAATCATTTCCTTCCCTGCCCTGCCAGTAGGAGGCTATTGCTATAGTCGAGGTGGATGGGAAAGGGAACAGCATGGAGCTTTGAGCAGTTCCTGGGTCTGGCTGGAGAGCAGAGGTCACGGGCAGAGTGGGGACAGCCTGCAGAGACGAGTCAGTGGAAGACAGGACCCAGAGAAATTACGGCATTTAAACCTCATCTGAAGACAGCAGGGGGCCATGGAAGGGTTTCCAGCATATTCTGAAAAAGGCACAGGTTAGCTCATGAAAAGTGTTCACCCCTATGACCCCCATGACAAATGGCCCGTCCTCCTGAACTGCTCTTTTTCCCAGCAGGCCAAAGCACAACTGTAACGCAGGCTAATTGTGACATCTTCCTCCCTTCCTCAGACCTCCCTCCTCAGGCCGCCCCTGCTCCTCAGCAGCGCTCATCTCCAGCCCCGGCAGTGGCTCCTGGATGCAGTTTTAGGACCTTGATCCCAGCATCTGTTAAACTCCTGTTGAAGTGATATGTGGTCTGAATCACAGCCATCTGGAACTCATCTCACGGGTTTATGAAATCCAAGTGTCCCTCGAATGGTTATTTACACAATATTTTCCTTAAATAAGTTTTATTTCGGTACTTCTTTTTTCTTTTTATCTTTATTGAGGTATAATTTGTTTACAATAAGATGCGCCCATTTTAATTGTGCATTTCTATGAGTTGTTTTGTTTTGTTTTGTTTTTTGAGGGAGATTAGCCCTGAGCTAACTGCTGCCTATCCTTCTCTTTTTGCTGAGGAAGACTGGCCCTGAGCTAACATCCATATCCATCTTCCTCTACTTTATATGTGGGATGCCTACCACAGCATGGCTGGACAAGCGGTACCATGTCCTCGCCGGGATCCGAATATGTGCACTTAATTGCTGCGCCACCGGGCCAGCCCATCTATGAGCTTTGATAAATGTATACATACATGAAACCACAACCAAAATGTAGAATTTTCCATCACTACAAAATGCACCTCCCTTTGCACAGTCCCCATCCTCAACCTCCATCCTAGGCAACCACAGATCTGCTTCTGTTATTATCGATCAGTGTTCCCTTTTCTAGAATTTCATATAGGTGAAATTATACTCTATGTACATTGTTGTGTTTGGCTTCTTTTGTTCGTTATTGTTCTTGAGATTCATTCATGTTATTGCATCTATCAGTAGGTTGTTCCTTTTATTCCCAAGAAGTTTTCCAAAAATGTATTTATTTTTCCAGAAAACTTTCCATCTCTACTAAAATTAGAAAATCAGTATCAATTACCATAAGGAACCCATAAATATGAATACAATGAAAACAAAGTAACATTATTAAATCCTAGCAAGATACTGTTGCAGCAAAAGATATTTTCCCTTTGTTTAAAAAGAAGCTTAGCAAATGGGAGTGTTAATGATATATTATCATCAAACCAAGATTTTCCCCCCTTGATGTAATCAGAAAAAATGAAAGAAAATTGGAAAGAAAGAACTTTCTACTTATAGGAATCAGTGTATTTTAAGTGCATGTATGGTGTTACCTAAAATTTCTCATGATCCAGTGACACATAGCCCATGCTTTGAGTACACTCTTTCTACAAGTCAGGAATGTGTGGAGCCGCGTGTAACAGGAAACCCAAACATAGTGGCTCAGGTCACAAGAAGGGTGGAGCAAGGCAGTGTCAAGAGATGGAGCAATGTCCCAATGTGTCATCAATGCTCCAAGATCCTTCCTCTTCATCTTATGCCATCCTTAGTGAGGGCATCTGTCTCAAGATCTCAAGATGGCTTTTCCAGCTCCAGGCACCAATCCCCATTCCAGGCAGGAGGAAGACGTGCAGGTATGTCTTCTTTCTCTTCTCTTTGCCCCTTTTTTGTTATTTCACTCTAGAGTTAGTGGGGCTAGAGAAGAAATTCAGACAAATGCATGTGTTCAGGCTACCATGTCAAACAGAAGTTGATTACTTACATTTTGCTAAGAGTAGTCTGAGACCAGAATGGCCTTCCATCCAAATGAATGGAAGAACCTCTCAAATGTGGCAGAGGTGAAAGTAATCTCGGACTGGTCGGGCTTGCAGGAAATCATAGCTCGTCCATTTTGGCAAGTGGTCCCAATCACTGCCTGAGAGATTATAAAGCTGAGGGTAGAGACTGTGTCTTCTCTCTATTCTTCACTCTCCAGAAGTCTCAGCCCTTCACGTCTCTAAGCCTCCGGTCCCAGGGAACTATCATAATTCTCCTTCTAATTACTTTAAAAAACTCCATCTTACTGGCCAAGCTCAATGCATACAAAGTCTGCAAACTTAGACTTACGTTATGCCTTAGAAAGTGGCATTTCTAAGCATTCAAGTTAATCATAATCTTGAACACACATTTTCTTCTGTCCTTGAAACCTTCAATTTACTTTAATGTTTAGTATTTTAAAGTATGAATGATTTAAAACAGGAAAATTAAGAGTTACAGGCAAAGATAATAACTATTTATTGATCATTTTCTAATCTTTCTCATTCCTTTTCTTCTGGTTCGTGTAGGATTTCTTACCTGGAATTTGGCAAGGGTGCTTATATCTAATCATTGAGTGGGATTCCACCTCCAACAACATTGATAAAAGAGTATTTTCAGCATTTTAAGGCAACTTCTACAGAGCAGCAGCAGTCTTTCTTAAAGGTGAAGGATATGGTCATATTAAGCTTGGCATAACTGTTTGACTTATTATGACTATTAGGGGTTATTAGGAAAAGAGGAAAAAGTCTAGAAAACAACAAGTGAGAACGCTAAGTGTATTCTTGGCTGAGAAGTTCTCCAGCCAAAGCTTTATGTGGAAAGTGAATCTTCTGTGTATGACTGCCATCTGCTGCTGCCTTGAATCAGGAAGGCGTTTTGCAAATCATAGACAGGAAGATGATCAAAAAATCAAAGCTGATTTTGTTGACATTAAATGTTTTATATTTTTGTTGCTAAACATTTGGCACAAGTATGTTCATTATTTTTTTCTGCAATCCCTGTGTGTCTTAAGATATTTGTGAAACACAAGTGGCTTCCATCTGGTAATTTGTTTCTATTTCCCATCATGCAACTACATTCATTTTGAATATCAGTTTGTGCTAAGCCATTTAAGATCCAAGGAAAATAATCAGGAAATGTATTGCTTTTTGTAGCATAGTACAGTATTGTTCATATAATATTAAATTGTTTTTGAAAAATTATGAAAACAGCTCATCCTAAGTTATTTGGAGTAGCTACTTCAGAGATTTATATAATGAAAGTGAAAGCAGCTGCTTTGGCTGGTCCGATGGTAGTGGGTTATCAGAACTTATTAACATTAGTGTCACTAAAGTTGGTATACAACCCCCCACTGCTAAATTTGACTGGCTTTTTACCATTTGATTTTATATCCAATTAAAAAGGTAACTTTGCAAAATATTCACTTGGGGGGGGAAGAATCTTTTTTTTTTAATGGAATGCTTCACAAATTTGTGTGTGATCCTTGCGCAGAGGCCATGCTAATCTTTTCTGTACCGTTCCAATTTTAGCATATGTGCTGCCCAGGTGAGCACAAGGGGCAGGGGGAACGTTCTTAATAAATACACTTACAACAACTAGGAATAACGTCATTCTTTTTCTAAGTTTAAGGACAACTGCGTAATCTCTTTTTTTACCAGAAATGGTCTTTTGCAGGTTTGATCCTCTCGTTCATACTTAGCCTAAATGCCAGACTTTTAGGATTGAAGTCTGGTTTCCTATGGCTTTGGGATTGAAGCACACCTCCCCGGTAATAGCCTCTGAAATGGGGCCAGCTCAGCGTCACCCTCAAGAGTTAAGCCTCCAGGCGGCAGCCTGGGAGAAGGAGGGCTGTCCAGGTGCCTGTTGGCTCAGAAAGGAGGGAGGTTTCAGGGCGCCGGGTACAATCTTGCCAGGAGGACCGAGGCTCTCCTTGCCGTCATGGTTATCTATTGCTAAGCTGCAAATGCTTGTCTCTGTGAGCATCTCTCAGTAGCTCACGCCTAAGCACTTTGCTTAGAGGAGTTTAGGAATGAGAGCTAAGGTGTGGGGCAAAAAGGGGAAAGTCCACAAAACTTTCTTCCACCCTGTTCTATCATATTTGCTTTAGTTTAAAATAGTGATGATAATAAAAATAATAACAAAGCCAGCATAATCTTTCTTAGAGAATGAGACTGGCCATCGGAGCAAAGTGAAGAAAATAACAAGGATGATATCGCTCCCAAAAGCTCCTGATTATGGAGGAAATAATATATATGTCTATCTTTTTTCTTTTCCTTTTTCCTGCAGTGGTTCGTGGCTGAGTTACTGAAATAGAAATAGTCCGAGTCGCTGGAAATACCACGTTAGATGATCCCTCATCTAAATCTCATCATAATTTCAATTGATAGACATGGTTACAGGAAATGGAAAATTAAATACCTGTATAATTGAGGCAGCCTTCCCGTTGCTCCCCGAACCTCTTTGCCTCTTATATCTGAAGAGTGTTTTCTCAATTGCCTGGACCACAGCCTCTGCTCCCACGTGTGTGTAGGACGACTGTTCCAGAGCCCAGCACAGCAGGAGCAGCGTGCATGCCTCAGGGACCTGCACCCAGGTGTGTCGTTGCAGCCACGCTGCTTCTCCTCTGCATGGTCCCTTGGGGACTAATAACTGCATTGGTCTGGATATCAGATGCCTTGTTCTCCAGGGCCCAGAATGGAAATTAATCCCTTGGAGTACTTCCAGGGCCCACCTCTCTGACTCCATCACCACATCTCTGAACCCCCAGCCACTGCCTTTGGCAGAAAACACTGTATATTCTCCCCGCTCCCTGTCACTGTCCAGGCAGAGTTCCTTGTGCTGCCTTTATCCTGCTGCCTAGGGCCTCATATTCTCATCAGCCACCCGCTTTTCTGGCTCCCCAACTAGAGAGTGAATGGCTCCCAAGTTCTTTCATGCACGCATTCCTTGTGCCGAGCGCTCAAGCTCCCACTTCATAGGTACTCAGTGAGGGCTTTCGAAATGAATGAACAATTGAGTGAATAAACACTTAATAAAATTCACTGACTGTAATATACAAAATTTTCAAGGCCTCGGTAGGGAAGTCAGTTCCTAACGCCTAAACTAAGCTGGAGGGCCCCTCTGGCAGCTGGAGCAAGTGGTAGAAGGTGCTGGTAAATGGTGGGATTAAGGGAGTAGGGAGGAAAGAAGGACTGAATGGAAACTGACACTCTGAGCAAAGAACACTTTGGTCGCGCCTCTCCCCGGGCTCCTGGCTGTGGTGCTCAGATGGTGTTGATAAGGCTCCCCTCCTGACCCCATTCTAATCAGAAGCAGCTCAGAAGCGCCTTCACTTCCTCCCCACAACTGGACCTGGAAGGCAGACCCTGACACTGTTCTCTGTCAGCCCAGAGCCTCAGCCAGGGGTCATTTCCAGAAACTGAGTGGGTCCCTGTTACCGCCTTTGCAAGCTACGCCTTTCCACGGGAGGGCTAAGTGAATAGCCCTGTGTCCCCCTGCTCTCGTGTTTGTTCCCAATAACTCGCTGCCCTTTATCTCTAGAATAGAAACCACTCCAAAACAGGACGAGTTGGTGTGCGTTCTGATTTTCAGCTCTGCTGCTCCGTGGAGGCTCCCCAATAGTTAAGCTCTCATGAGCCTTGTTTCCGAATCAGTTCTTTTTCCTTCTTTGCTTCTATCTCTGCAGAGTGGAATCGTGAGCTTCCTAAGGCACCGAGGAGTTAATAACAGAGGTCGTACTGGGAAAGGAATAAAGGTGGCCACAGAAAGCTGGATTCTTCGGTGGCTGCCCCACCGCCTCAGCGGCAGTATATCCTTGCTCTTGGTGAGGGATGCTTCTGAAGAAGGTCTGGGCGGACTCTGAGCATCGCTGCCTCGTGCAGCGCACTTATCAGTTCCCAGCCAGCTCCAGGCCCCAGGACAGGGACCACCCGCAGGAGCTGGGTGTAGGCCCAATCACACCACCACTGCCCCTTGTCAAAAAGATCCTGAGGGGCTGGCCCCGTGGCCGAGTGGTTAAGTTCGCGTGCTCCGCTGCAGGTGGCCCAGTGTTTCGTTGGTTCGAATCCTGGGCGTGGACATGGCACTGCTCATCAAGCCACGCTGTGGCAGCGTCCCACGTGCCACAACTAGAAGGACCCACAACGAAGAATATACAACTATGTACTGGGGGGCTTTGGGGAGAAAAAGGAAAAAAATTAAATCTTTAAAAAAAAAGAAAAAAAGATCCTGAGACAGTGGCTTGAAGAACAGGTGACTGATTTTGAGTAGCAGCTACCAGCCCCTCACCCCGGCCTCACAGCAGGCCAATCACCCTCCATCCGTCCATCCTCCCCAGGATTCCATCCAATCTTGTTTCATCCCTTCCCTCCCCAGATTATTGTGAAGCAAACCCAGACATCATATTTTCTTCAACTGAAAATATTTCAACATATAATTACAAAGGAAAATCACCCTTTTGAAAACTGTTTTTAAAAACAAAGCTGCAACACGATCGCCTACCGAAAAATGTGCCACTAATTCCTTAATGCCATCAAATAGGCAGCCCTCGTGTTTCCCTGATTGTCTCGTAACATTTTTTTTCCAGCTTGTATTTTGAATTTGGGTCCAAATAAGATGCATACACTCTCATTGGTTGGCATGTCTTGTAATTCTCTGTAGAAAAAATGTTTTAATTACAATATTATTCACATATCATAAAATTCACCTTTTAAAGTACACAGTCCAGTTATTTTTAGCATACTCAGAAGGTTATGCAACCATCACCACTATCAAATTCCAGAACATTTTCTTCACCCCAGAAAGAAACCCCCATTCCATTAGCAAACACTTCCATTTCTCTCCTCCCTCCCCGGCCCCTGGCAACCACTAATCCATTTTCTGTCTCTTAATTCTCTTTTCATCTATAGGCTTCTCCTCTTTCTCTTATGCAATTTACTTGTTGAGGAAACTGGGTCATTTGACGTGCAGAGTTTTCACAGGCTGGATTTCACAACTGCCTCCCTGGGGCGTGGTTTGTTGTGTTCCTTTGCTCTGTATCTCCTGTAAATGAGTAAGCTAGAGCTGGAGTCCTGATCCGATTCGAGTTGGGTTGTTTTCTTATTACTGTATAAGCAGTATTGTGAATCTCTATAAAGACGAACTTAATGTCAGGTTCCTCCTTTTCGTGGTGTTGACAGCCTAGATCCATTCACTCATCAGGAGTTGCACAATGGTGACGTTTTAATCCTGGCATTCGTTCTCACTTATTAGTTGGCATATCTCTACAAGAGGACCTCTCCTTCAGCGACTAGCAGATTCCTCTGAGGCACAGTGTGTTGAACAAAGGCAGGATAAATGTTTGAGTCTTTTCCTCTATTTACAGTTATGGAAGCATAGCAAGCATGAGCAAGCATTCTCCAAGACTGATCAGCGAGGGCTTTTTTTTGGAAGTATCATTATAAACCATGCATTATAAAACCCATTATAAATGTGGAACAGGTAGAATGGGTCCAGATTCTGGAGGACCTTAAAATCTGGCAGAAGGGCATAAATGGTGGCATTTGGGGAGCATTGTTGATTTCCAATTGAGGCATTCTTTGGTGAAAGTGGTGTTGAAGGAAGATTGGAAAAGGCAGCAGAATGTCAGGACGGACTGGGGTGCGGGCAGGGGAGTAAGAAGCAAGAGTCACACAGATCAGAAAGGATCTGCTGCTCTAATTTAATGAGAGAGAAGCCGCTGACAAGATTCGAAACGGAGAACAAAGAACACACGGAAGAAACACTGTGAAAGACAATTCAGACACTGCAAGTGATTGACAAGATGTGGGGAACATCAGCCAGGACTCTAGAGTTTCCTACCAGAGAAAGGGATAAAAAAGGGAGGTCGGGTGAGGGAGACAGTTCTGAAGGACAGAACAGGATGACAAAGTTGGTATTGGAAAGGTTTCTGAGGTTAGAATGGGACATTCATGTGGAATATCCAGGTCTTGCATGCTGATGATCGCCGAAGCCGTGAGTGTGAAAAGACTTGTCAAGGGACAGGCAAATTGGACTGCTCAAAGGGCTGGAGGAGGGAACAGAAAAGGGTAGATGGGGAGATAAGGCAGGCCAGCCCAGAGTCGGGGAGGCTGAGGGGGGAGACCCAGTAAAAGCTGCCACATAATCAGAGTTGGGTCAAGGAGAGTAAGAATCGAGATGGCCTTTGGATTTGTCACGATAGAAAGAACTGGTGACTCTGGAGAAAGGTGGGGGATGTGGAGAAAATTCAAGAGGAAATATGTACTGGATATCATGTAGCAACAGTCAGTGCCCATTTTCCGCCCTCTTCCATCTCACTCCAGTACCGTGCAGGCTGGACACATGAGCAGTCTGCTTCACAGACTCCTTTGCCAGTAGGATTCCAGGCATAGTTTGGCCTTCACCTGAGATGCACTTTAATGAATCCGGAAGTTGTACAGGAGGTAGAAGCTCTTTTTCCTCCTGTGATGGTGGCAGCACATGCCAACTTGGGCAGGTAGCGGTGGCCCCACTACCCTCTTGTGCTGCTCCAGCCCTTCCTGTGATGTAAGCACAC